GCAAAATGCACAAATTCAACGGAGAGCTGTAGGGAAGGGCAGAGGGAGGGAGGGGGGAGGGAGGGAAAGGGTTGGGCAGGAGGAAAGAAGGAAAGAAGATCCACCCAGCCAGCGAATGGTATTAAGTAGAAAGCAAGCAAATGTCTCCTGTGTCATTCGCTTTCCCTTGTGCAATGTCACAGAGCAGTCTCCGCCCCCCCGCCCCCCACCAGGTCTTGTGCAGCCGGTAGAGTCAGGGCAGATCCTGCTGTCTCCCTGCTTCCCTCACCGCCCTGGGAGGCAGCGTGGCACTCTGGCCAGCAGCCCCAGCTCTGCTCCAACTGGCTGACTCTGCTACAGTGGAGCCCCGGTGAGGTCATCAGCCCAACCAGGGCACGTTTCGTGGAGCTGCTGAGATGGAGTGACATCACCCACGGTCGGGGTTCGCAGTGCTTGGCACGTGGTGAGCACTCAAAAAAAAAAAACTGTCAGCTGCTATTCAGGCTCATGATCTTTCATCCAAGCCCGGGGGGATCATATAGATTTTACAGATTTTAGAGAAGTAATAAGGGGTTGTAAGTAACACCTTACCACAGAAGTCATCAGTATTTCTGCATCAAACATGAATATTCACAGAAGCATAAACAGCCTCATGTTAGTTCGGGACAAGTTTTGCCACCAAATGAGATCTGGCACCAACTTGTGAAAAGACTTTCAGCTCTCAGAGGTTTCTGGAAACTAGAAGTACAAAAGAGCGTCCGTGGCCCCCAGATGATGGCTGTGATTACTATCAGCCACGGAGGGAAGCGTGTTTGGGCATCAAGGATCAATGTCATCATTTAGCAGCAATTCAAATCCCCAACCCCGGACAAACCTAAAACTGATCTCCCACAGACAGAGTACTTCTCACTTTTCAAGGAACTGCAGCAAACACCGTGTCTCTTGATTCCCAAGGCCCCTATCAGGCAGGGAAGGTGTGATTCTCCTGTTACTCGTGGGAGATTGAAACTCAGGGAGAGTGAGGGCTTAAGAGAAGGGAGGTTCCGGGATTGGAACCCAGGTTCTCCCAATATTTTAGCAAGTGACCTGCTATCCGGGCCGAGTCCCCCTCGGTACCATGCGCCTCCCACCACTCTGTTCCTTATTTTCATCGTTGACCTTATTCAGTGGGTTGTGGATGCCGGCTGCCTCCAGGTAGGCTGTGATCTCATACAAGAGTGTGTTGTCTTCTTTGGGGTAAGGAAGTGAAGGGTCTTGATAGTGGGCTTCGATGTCTGCTAGGAGAGCCCTAGAGGAGAGACACAAAACAACACGAAGCAGGGATAAATGTCAGCGATGAACGCAATTCACGTAGCAGTCAGTACGGGCTATGACGTCATCTTTCGGGGCCTCAGTTTTCTGATCTGTAAAACGAAGGCTTGATCTTTCCAGTTCTCAATTTCTGTACCTGTGACTGGTTATAAGTGGAAAATTTGACCTAGTATTGTTTTATCTTTTGGAGTTAACCCAAATCAAATGCTTTTACTGTTCCAACTTTTTTGATTAGAAAGAATTTTGTTTCTTATTATTTAATGTTTGACAGAGCGTGAGCAGGGGAGGGGCAGAGAGAGGAGGGCAGAAGATCTGAAGCAGGCTCCGTGCTGACACGCTGATGGCGGCAAGCACGATGTGGGGCTCGAACCCACAAACTGTGAGATCACGACCTAAGCCGAAGTTGGCCCACTCAACTGACTGAGCCTCCCAGGTGACCCTCACTGTTCCAATTTTTCTGAACTGACTGAACTGTTTTCAATACCTGCTTTGTCAAAAGCACTGAGTTATTTATTTATTATTAAAAAAAAGTTTGTTTTAATTTTATGGAGAGCACACACGCATGAGTGGGGGAGAGGGGCAGAGGGAGCCCAAGATAGAATCCCAAGTAGGCTCCACGCTTAGTGCAGAGACTGACATAGGGCTCTATCCCACGACTCTGGGATCATGACCTGAGCCGAAATCAAGTCAGATGCTCAACCGACTCAACTGAGCCATCCAGGCTCCCCCAGATGCTTATTTTTAAGTAGAGGTTGGAAACGAGAGCAGGTTGCTGGTGAGGTGGAGGATGTGACTGCACTCCGGGATGTGTGCCCACGGCCACTGCTGGTAACTAACACACTTCTAACTGCCCTCCGGATGATCAGTGACCTAGTCCTGTGGAGATCCAGCTGTGCATTTGGTAATAACTATTTTCTCAAACTGTGCAAGTATTTAGCACAAGGTCTGATGTGTACTAAGTGATCAGTAAACATTGGCTGAATAAACAAAATCCATCAATAGCGAGTAAGAGAGAGAGAGAGAGAGAGAGAGAGACTGAGACCAAGAGACAAGACTGAGGGAGGAGGCTTACAAAGACGGGTTCGATTCTGTCTTCCCTGGGAAGGAAGGCCATAGGGGCAGACAGCCTCCTTACCCCAAAAGAACGTAAAAGAGTACGTACTGAAGAAACTGGGGCGCTAACCGATAACGAACAATCCGGGCCCACGGATGGCTGTTTCCAACGCTGGCACTTACTTATTGAGATTCTCCAGAGCAGCTGCCAGATGTTTGGAGTCAAACCGACAAGAATAATTTAACTCGTTGGCAATCTGCTGTCTCAGAATCTGCATCTGCCCCACCTGTGAACGAGGAAGAGGAAGAACAGGTGGAACACGCCACGCTGCAAAGGGACGGCAAGGAGGCAACACAAAGACGACAAGTTTTGACTGGAAGGATGACAACATTCCACAGGACTGGACTGGCTCCCCGGTGAAGACCAGCGTCATCCTTGACGGAGCATAAGGAACCCTGCAAGGGATGTGTGGACAGACGCCTATACGCCAACCTCAAATATCCCCAAAGTCCGATATTTTACAAAGTGACCCATTAACGTTCCGTTGTTCATGTATCAAAAAGGTGTCTGTATTGAAGCTCTATTTATGACCTTTTGCAATAAGTTCTCCAAGCTTAGTAATTGCGAATGAGAAGCCCTCCTTCCTTTATTTGTCCTAAACTGAACTTTCTGGAGTCCTAAGGATGCCATTGTACTCCGTTATCCTAAAATTTGGTGAATATAAACCTATCTGCGTCACCTAGGATTACAGTTCACATAATCTTCTGGGTTATAAAATAACTTACATAAATTTTCCAAAAAGGCCCTTCTAACAATGATAAGCCCTCATCCATGGGTTCCTAACCATTTTTTTTTTTTTTTTTTTTTTTTTTTTTTTTTT